CACTCTTATGTTTTCCAAGGGTTGTTTTGACGAACTGACTGTGGTATCTCGATCAGTGGCCATGAATGCAGGATACCGAAACAGCCACATTGTCCGTCGGTAAGTTAGAATGAATCGGGAAGGAACGCCCTATCTGTGCGCTTTTAGTAGACAATAGAATCGGACTACGGCCGTTCCTCTAACCCTCACCACGCGTCGGTCGATTGGTGACATTGCACCTGAGTTGTTCGTTGGCGAAAACGTCGTATTGATTTCAAATGTCGGCGTTTTTGCGTCCTCGTTTGACATGGGACAGAGAAATGCCGATCCTCCCCAGAGCATTTAGCATTCTGAGGGAATTCTGCACTGTTCATATACAACAGTGAAACTTTCCTCGTCTGCTGAGCTAACAAGGGGTTGTTTGTCGACCCATGACTGTGAGCCAAATGCTGGAGCATTTAGCAAGCCAAGAATCCACAACGGTCGCACAAATTCGGCAATTAATGACTCCGATGCGGACTAACGCACAGTCATCGTATAAAACGCAACCCCGCCCACCACAACGAATGCGGGGGATGTTGATCGTAGCAGACACGTGGTTGCGTGACAATGCATCACGGAAAATACTGCACTCTTTGTACCTCCATCGTCCTCATCTGCAACTGTCCCTGATGTTTGGTCCGCGTGAGAATTCGAAACATTAGGCCAATAAACCTCTTGGTCCAGCGACCGCATCTTCTTCCGAACTGTTTCCTGGCACACTCCTCACGCTCCTTTTGGCAGCCTCTGGTAACTGACTCGTCCTCTTTTTATTGGCGCCAATTTCGGAACAATGTACTTTGACAATTCCGGATTATCGATAAGGTTGCGAAATGCGAATCGCAGGTTTAAGCTTACAGCAGGACATCGCATCGCGTTCTTCTCCCACTTTTGCTGCAGGAGGTTTTTGTTTAAGATGGTTATATCCAGGCTTGTAATCTTGTCTGTCCGACTGTCTAATTGACTCTCACGGTGGCTGAGCCGTCGCGGTTAGGGATTCGAGGAATTATGTCGAGTGCGAGCTATGTTGTGTGTCAAAGAGGTGCCTGGCCGGACGATATGGGTCAACGGTCTTTACTGTATCCTAGACAACCTTTTACACAGGTTGACAAACGTAAAAGATCCGGGTCGATAATCTGAGAAAATTGAAGTGCTAACCGGATCATGGTGGTTATATTGCTCGTTTCATCATGCAGATAACAAGTCAAAAGAAGGCTGAGAATTTTCAGAATAAAAGGATTTGACGGGGACGGTGCAATTTCTTTGTTCTATTCACATACGGTGATTCCCTGCCCCAGAAAAACCCGTCAACTATATCCGACCTCTCGCGCATCTGCCATCCCATGAATCCTCAGCGTTTTTCTATCAAATACGTTGTAACGACGGAGACCGAAAATACGTTGGGGAAACCGGACCGAAACTGCAGACCCGCCTACATGAGCACAAACTGACAATCCGCAGACTAGATCTAATCTCACAGCTTGAGACACTGGAGAAACTGGCCACAGTTTCGCTTTCGAGGACAACCGTCTTCGGTCGGGACACCTCATGGACAGAGAGCCCCAGACTTTAGGCTTGGTATTCAGAGGCCAAATCCATCAACAGGAATCTAGAGCCTCCTGCGGCCTACAAAGTCTTACGTCACTGAGTACTTCATGTCCAGGAAAAGGTCACACGCAGCTCAAGAATACCGAGCAAACACGGTCCGTCGACTAACTCACCACAAACGACGGTCAATGGGCCATGGAAGCGAAGGAAGAAAATCGACCAGCCAAGGGCCAGCGATAATGGAGAGCCGGTCAAGCTCCCCGAAAAGTCAGCAATGTAATCCCACTGATCCGGTGAGCACTTCAATTTTCTCAGATTATCGACTCGGATCTCTTAGGCTTCTTACCGTGTGTAAAATGGTTGTCTACGATCCAGTAAAGACCGTCGTCCCATATGGTCCGGCTCGGCAACTCTTCCACCCACAACACAGCTCGCAATCGACATAATTCCTCGAATCCCTACCCGCGATGGCTTCGCCACTGTGACAGTCAATTCGACAA